ACAATGACCCTTTTGGCTACTTCAGACTGAAGGGGGATCACAGTTGTAATTGGCAGTCAGGGGTATTTTCCAGAGGGCTAATCTAAGGGGCCTCAGAAAGAAGTCATATTGTAGTTTAGCACTTAAGAACTCGTTTTACAAGGTCAATCTAGTGGATCCTGATAGAAGCACTCTTGTACATTTGTCATTGGTTTCATCTGTATGATCACTTGGAGTTTGGCAGTCTCTGGGCAAGAATAAATAAATTTTCCAAGAAATTAAGGCATATGTAATCAAAGCAGGAACATTAGAAAGAAAGGCAAATTGGGGAAAAAGCCATGTCTAGAGGGCCACTACTCTCGAGGGACTGGAGTAGCAATTGTACTGCTTGGCTCTTAGGCCCCTCTACTGATGGAGATTATCTGTAACTCTGATATGTCTGTCATGAGTCTCTGTAGTTTTAGTTGTAAGGAGATAGAGAGTTTGGTAGTTTGGAAGGACAATTTTAGCTAAAGAACTTAAAAGACTCTTGTTGAACTTTTACAGCTTTTACCATAGTTTTTTAGCCTCACTGAACCATAACTGTGGCCAGCTGGAAACTGCCCAAAGAGGTCAGTGATCGGAGCCCTTTTTTATATCTAGCTTTTAGTATTATGGTATTGTTTTATATCTCTTTTGGTTATATTTTTCTGCTTGGGGTTTAAGACGAAATTAAAATGAGACCTGTGTTAATCAAAATTAACCTCTTGCTGTCTGTCACGGTCAGATAAGTCTCCTCAGGCATTACTTTTGGAACATGTACAGAGCTTCTCAGCTCCTCTGTCAGTGTCAGTTGCCAGGAAAGGTCACGTTGTTGCTTGACCTTGTTGCTTTCTGTGAAAGCATGGAAGACTTTTTCTCCTGGAGACCCTCCTCTGGCACATTGTACATTTGTTGATTTCTTTTTTCCCTCCTTTTTATGTTTTTAATATATTAAAAAGTAACAGTACAAATGCTGAGATTAGTATTTAAAAAGGACCCAAATTTTTCAAGGAATGAATTTTTTAAACAATTTTGTAATGACAGGGAAATAGCGTCTTGATACATAAAAGGTTTTAAGATTTTAAAATATTAAAAGCAGAAAAATGTTAACATTAAATTCTTTCCAATGATCAAACAAAAATCAACTTGTATAATCTCTGTGATAAAATGTGTCCTCGGTACAGGTCTTGGGCACTTGGGAAATGTTAACATTTCTGTAATTTGAGTGATAGAGGCAGCACGTAAAGACTTCATGAATCTTTTTTCCCAAAAAGAATACTTTCAGTAAAACACTTTACTATTTTATGAGTATGCATTGATATTTTTGTTCTTCCTGAAAAAGCGAATTTACATTAATACTGTAATTTTCCACGTGAAATATACACATACAGATATTTCACCTATTTAACTTCCCGAGTGACCAGTCATACGTCAAACATGATTTAATAAGAAATTTCTTAAAACTTTAGAATGAAATAGCACATGTAGATTCATCCTTGTACAGGGTAAAGCTACAAAGAGCATCTCACAGAACTTGTACTTAAACTCTCTAAGTTAACCAAAATGATTTATCCTCTAACAACCAAGAACATTCTGAAACTTTAAAAAAATCACTCAAAAATTATATTTTCTAATTTATTAACAGAATACAGATAGCCATCTGATTAGCTGATAGCTACCAATATGGACTTCCTGTTATATACACCGAAACTGGATTCACTTAGCACGGAATTTCTTGCAGTACAAAAAATTAAGGTCTTTGCTTTATAATACAACCATCTACAAGGTCTGACCAAAGTATATGGGAATGTTTAGATTTTTAAAATTTGTTACAGTAAATGACACAATGCCATTATGGCAATATAGAGATGTGTGTCTCTTACTATAATTTTTTTTCAAAATCTAAACATTGTATTTAAAAAAATCATGCCTGGCATACCATCCGCCCTTCTGAAGCTGTCTGGATGATCAGGAACTGTGGCCCTTTCTTTTGCATTTTACCCTCTCCTCTCCACAAAGCCCCGAGGTGAACGGTTGTTAATGAAGTGAGACTGCGACCACAATTCTTCCCATTCTGTATTAAACTGCAGCTATCCATTAAAAAATGTGGCAACTGGAAAAGCTCCTCTGTACAGTTTTTCAAAATATTTTCAGCTCAATTTAGTCAAAAAAACCTAAAATGGCTCTATAACATAACGTCCTTTAAATATTTATTAGTGTAAAGATGAGCGTCATTTTCCATCTCTACCACTTGTTCCTTCTGTTATCAGGATCATGGCTCAGCCATCACGATTCCTATCTTTGTAGAGGAAGTCTCCTCTGCTTCCTCTGTAATGGTGGTCTGACCCACGATCGGTGTAACTCTGTTCTCGGCTATAATGTCTACCTGCTGGGTAGGGATGAGAATTCTGTCTGATTTTACGCTGTGATGGTGGTGTACTCTGGTGCCACTGGGAGCTTGAAGACTGGTTATAAGTATGATCGTGTGATTCAACCGATGGAGAAGATCCTGATTGGTCCACATGTGGAGAACCAAATTTCCCACCATATGGCATCTGTGTTAAAAGCATTGTTCATCACTGCTTGTCTTTGATAATTTTCTGGAGACGAGAATGATTTCTGAATTATCTGTGATGATGGTGTCATGTTATCTCCAGTCCTTTCATATCTGCTGCTAGGAGATGTGGAGGTAGGACTTGAATTTCCAACATGATGCTGAGGGTATGATAAACTGACACCCTGTGAGGCATGACTATTTCCTGGTGGAACAGCTCAAAAAGCAGGTCCTCTGTCACTTTAGTTTCAAGGTGGTCCACAAAGAGAGTTTAGTCTGCTTCTGCAGCCGCCACCCCCATCTCAATGTTGACCCCTCCCCACTCAGGCTGAAGGGTCACAGTGACTGCCCAAACTTGAAAACCCTACGTTTTTGTACTCAGGTGCCCTAAAGTAAACATCCATCATGCCAGATTTCGGTCAGCGTGGGAATGAATATGTGTGCCCAGTGCACCTGCGTACAGGTTTAAGGTGGCTTCTCAGTGCGTCTCATGTTAGTTATGGCATTCCTAGTAGTTGATTTATCTTTCAGAGTCAGGGTGGCTGATCTGTGGAGAAGCAAGGAAGTTTTCTTGACCCATGGATGTAACGTAGACGCTACTAGCAGTGTTTGAAGATGGCCCTGAACTATGTCCATTGGTTGATTTCTGCCCTCTAGGGTCCATCAATCTCCCTCTTCAGGAGGTTTGGTGATTCATCAAAGTTATGGGATCTTGTAGAAAGGGTTCTCTCATGTCTTGAATTCTTGTTGGCCTTGAAGGGCCAGGGCCAAAATTTTGGCTGTTTTCTTAGCCCAGTTACCTCTATTTCTGGTCTCTAAACTTTAGTTGTTGAACACCCAGAAGAGATCAGTTACACAGGTATTGCAATGAGAAGAATGAGCTTAACTATTATAATTTGATTTGGATATCAAACACTTTGAAATATAAAGTACAGCCGAAGAACTTATTTTTTATCAGTTATGGTTGTTTCAAAACTTGAATCCCTGTGCGATGTTAACAGACAACAATTATAAAGTTTTATAGAGAAAACATATTTTAGCATGACAATTATATTATCTTTGAAACACATTTAAATGTCTATCTTAGTATAGAATAGGTTTACAATTAATTATCTCTATCTAGTACCCAAAGAAGCTCTCACCTAATTTGTTATCATTTAATAGAATGTCATTGAAGAAGTGTGTGATATTGTCTGGACTGTTCAGTGTCTGAGTATCTCTAAGTGTGGTGACACATATATAACATACATATCACATAAGCTTTTTAAAAAATAAACTATCATTTGATTGGTAGTCTCATGCTGGTTTGACATATACTTTCCATCACAAGTAGCTGGAGCTTAAAAGAAACGCAGATATCTAAGTCTAAGAAAAAGGTTATCATCATAAACAATCTTAGTTTTATATCTTAGAAGACCTGTACACTGGGAAGACGTGAATACATTTAGTATATCACGGGATTAGCAATAACGAATGTCACAGCTATATGGAAACCTTTGTCTCTTAATTTAGTTTTGTACTAAGGGGATCTTTTAATAAGAAAATCTTATTGTTTTACCCATAGAAAACTTACTCTTTGATGATAACCAAGGTAAACATATTACGATAATATGTTTAGCAATGTTTATTGGGATGTATCTCCCATAGGGCTATGGAAACTATTGGAGTCCCATTAGTGGGACTAGATAGAATAAGATGTTTCCAGGCAGCTGCTCCTTTATTTACCAAGGGGAGTCCTATCTGGCAGTTTTTCCAAGCCCAAGGGGTCCTCATTTAATCATCTTAACAAATTCTAGACAACCTATGAGAACCAGATTATAGCAATTAATACATTATTTTTGACCAAGGAAAGACTTCCAAGTTATTGTACATGGACAACTGTATGTATTGGATTCGTAAAGCCAGTCTCAGAATCATTTTAATTAACTGGCAACCTAGGTGGAAGCATGTCCTTAACTCTAATGACACTTATCTAAAAGCCATCTTAAGTTATAGACAAACATCTTAAAAATCTAAAAAGGCAAAAAGAAGAAAAAATTTTTTGAGCTCAAATAAAATAACTGTAAGTATTGTGTCTGGTTATAGATTGGACAGACAGATGGACAAGCACACAGAAGACAATTTGCTTATAAATCAGAGTGCCCTTGGATGTGTTTGGCCAAGTCAAATTATAATAACTCTTTTACAATTTTTAGGTTTGTAGCTATAAATAAGACTAGTTGGAACTTTTTATAGGTCAATTAACAGATCTTTTGGAATAAGAATCAGAAAGAATAAAATGCTTTTACTCTTGTGAAAGCAACTTTTATTGGTTTTTCTATTTTTCTTTTGGGTGCCTTACTTTAGGATTTATTTTTGTCTCCACGAGGGGGAGGCAGTGTACCTGACTGGGGTGCATGTATGTCACAGTATTTAAATAAGATGAAACATCTCTCCCCAGGAGGGGAACTGGACTTTCAGGCACAATTAAAAAGGAATGGGTGAAGAGAAAGCTGAACCTGTTCCAGCCTAAGGGTTGTGAGAAATAGTGAGTTACCTCCCCTCCAGTGACTCTTTTTACTGGGGTGTGATGGCTGGAGGGAAGGTCAGGGCTGAAGAGAAGGACGGAGAGACATGCACCAACCAGAGTTCAGCCACAGGCTGAGTTTCCCTCTATAGCCATGACTACCTGGGGCTCGTCTGTGGAGATGTCAGTCTGGCTAGAGGGAGAAGGCAGAGACTACCTTGGGGCCCTTTAGTCTTGTTGGATCAGCTAGTAAGATGGGCCAGTTTTGGGGGGTCTCTGGCTCAGGGGCTGGCTGACTTCCAGAGGTCACTTCTGCTCAGGGCACAGCTCATGGGGGCTCTTATGGCAGTCTCTCTCTCTCTCTTTTTTTTTTTGGTACCAGGGATTGAACTTGGGTCCTTGTGCTTGGGAGGAAGGTGGCGGCACCATTGAGCTAAACCCCCGGCCCACGGCAGTCTCTCTCAAGGTGGCCTGGCTTTCCACAGCCACAGCAGATGAGTTTAGCCATTGGGCTCTTCTTGCAGCCCCGAGAATCAGACCTATGCTCTGTTTCTTTTAAAGCTGAAATTAAAGTGACTGCTCTCTCTTGGCCTCCATTTTTCCTCTTTTGGCTTCCTCTCGGTCTCAATTATGTATCGAGGAGGCAATCCTCACTGAACTATCAAGTGAGTTATCTGGAGCAAAAACCATCTTTTGTAGCTTTTAAAAAATATCTGCTGATGACTGGTTAATAAATTTCTTTAAGAGTAATCTGTCCTCTATTGAATCAGGAGCTAGGGATGTACGTTCTATCAATATCTTTTGTAAATGATCTAAGAAGGCAGAGGTGTTCTCATCCTTCTCCTGATAAATAGTTAACAACTTAATATAATAGAAGGGCTTAGTTCTCATCGTTTTTAGACCCTCAAGAACACATGTCTGAAAATGTCTCCTATTTCAATTCCCCATCTGGTTGGTAGGCCAGTAGGGGTCTCATACAGGGACTGCTGGGGCTCCAGTAGGAGCTGGCTGTTCCCCTGGCTGTCCATCTTCTGGCCTTTTAAAACTAACAGTACAGGATGAGATTTATCTGCAGATGAACAGCGCCTTGTCTCACCCGCAGGTTCAGTAATAGTAGGTGAGACTTTTTTTAGCGCCCTCTGCTTGTGGTGCCGCCTCCTGGTCCTCCTGCCGCCGCCGCCATCCTTAGTCACTCCCTGCGCAGCTCCGGCCGCCCAACTCCCCGAACTAGCCGCTGATATTTGCAGTTCTTGATGGCCACCGCTGAGTCCTCCTCCTCTCTGGAGAAGAGCTACGAGCTGCCCGATGGCCAGGTGATCACCATTGGCATCGAGCGCTTCCGGTGTCCAGAGGCTCTCTTCCAGCCCTCTTTCCTTGGTATGGAATCTTGTGGCATCCATGAGGCTACCTTCAACTCTATCATGAAGTGTGATGTGGACATCCGCAAGGACCTGTATGCCAACACAGTGCTGTCCAGTGGTACCACCGTGTACCCGGGCATCGCCGACAGGATCCAGAAGGAGAACACAGCCCTGGCGCCCAGCACCATGAAGATCAAGATCATCGTGCCCCCTGAGCGCAAGTATTCCGTGTGGATCGGCGGCTCCATCCTGGCCTCACTGTCTACCTTCCAGCAGATGTGGATCAGCAAGCAGGAGTATGACGAGTCAGGCCCCTCCATTGTGCACCGCAAATGCTTCTAGACGGTCTGAGCAGGTGCCAGGCACCTGCTGCATGAGCTGATTCCGAAGTATAATTTGCCCTGGCAGATGTACACACCTCATGCTAGCCTCACAAAACTGGAATAAGCCTTTGAAAGAAATTTGTCCTTGAAGCTTGTATCTGATATCAGCACTGGATTGTAGAATTTGTTGCTGATTTTGACCTTGTATTCAAGTTAACTGTTACTTTGGTCTATGTTTAATACCCTGTGCATATCTTTGATTCATCCCCTTAGTCTGTGTGGCTCGGTAACTTGTGGAGAAACCCTCGGCTCAGCGACCTGGGTGGCCGAAGCACAGCCATCTGTGCAGGATATTGAGTCAGAGCTGCCTGTTCCAGGTTTTCTTGGGCTGGCAGGAGTTGGTGCACCAGTTGTCGCTTCTGTCCCCTTGCTAGTCTAACAGGGTGGGAAAGTCCGAGCCTTAGGATCCTGTTTCCGTCATCATTGATGTTTTCCCGCCTGAACACAGTGGGTGGTTTACTTGCCTTGAGTTGGAAACAGCTTGCATTTACACCTGTAAATTTATTCATCCTTTTAATTTATGTAAGGTTTTTTGTACTCACCTCTTTAAGATGACAAATTTTGTTTTTCTACTGTGAGAACATTAGGCCCCAGCAACATGTCATTGTGTAAGGAAAAATAAAAGTGCTACAGTACATAA